TTTCCTGGCCTCGTCATGGGACAGTGACTGGTGTCTTATTCTGGGCCACCATCAAACGTCGCCATCCTCTTTTCGACGTCTAAACCAGTGTTGGCGACAAGCTGCCTCCCGAATTGGATCCCTACGCTTTAAAAACAAATCCTACCCCAACTCAATTCCGTCCCTCCGACCAGGCAAACGATTGCTACCTTCGGTTACATTACATGGGGTTTGACGCGCATGCATCTCCCCCCCAATAGCAAATATTGGAGCCGGATCGACTGATTAATTTACCTCCTGCGACCAAGTGAGACTGGCTTTGTTGGCCCTCGCCTCCCTCTTTCTTGCCGGCGCGCAGTCTTCTTTTACTGCCCTGCTGCTCGCTCTCAGAAATCGACTGACTGACACCAATCTGCCCCCCGCCGGTTAAACGCCGACTAACACCGACCAATTATCCCCAGCCCGACCTGCGCAGGCAAACCACGTCTCAAGCGAAGTAAAGCAAGCTGGGAGGGTAAGCAGAGCAAGGCCAGACAATAAGTCAGCCTGATTCAGGAGCGTCAACGCTCGGTTTGCTTCTGGGCCCGCGGCTGTGCGTTGCTTTTTAAAGTCCCCCCCCAATCGGGTGACCGCGCCTTATTCCTTCTGTGCAACCGTTCGGCTCTTGATCAGATACGATCTACGGCCCACCAGACCCGACTCGTCACTTGCTGCAATCTTTTCAGCCTTGCCGGCAGACCCTTTGCGCGCCGAATTGAACCGCCGGCCGCCTGTGCGCACACGCTGCTGCTGCTGTTGCTGAGTGGGCTGCGCTGGAATTGACGCCCCGGACGGCTTGTTGCCGACATTGACAGCTGCTGCGCCCTTTAAATAGTTGTATCACCTCCTCCACCGGCCCCAGCCGACCCCAATCAGTAATGCCGCACATGCGTGAGGTCAAGACGTGCGACCGTTGTCGCCATTTCAAGCGGCGGTGCGACCTGCTGAAGCCGTCGTGCACTCGGTGTGTCCAGGCTGGCGTGCGATGTAGCTTCGAAGCTAACGGTATCACCGGCGGCGGCCCTTCCTCCATCTCCTCCCTCTCCCCGACCCAGACCTCGGACGAGGCGGGGTTTAGGGCCGACAGCTCGACGCCCGGCGCTGCTAACGGCTTGATCTCGCCCTCCTCGACGGAAGAAGCCGACTTCGTGAACCGTGCGGCCTCCCTCTCCGTGTCAGGCGATCCTACTACAGCTCCCGAGCCCGAAGAGGGCGAGGGGGACGCGGACGGGGAAGGGGAGGGCGAGGGTGAAGGCGAAGGGGAGGCGGCGAGTGCTGCAGCGCCAGCTCCTGTCGCTGCCAAGCCTCCCCAAGGCCAGCGGGTCATTCGCAAGCGGAAGCGCAATTGCCTGAGCTGTCTACGATGCCATCGCCTCAAGGTGAAGTGCGACAAGGAGCTGCCTTGCGGACGATGCAAGTCGAGCGGCAACGGGCGCGAGTGCTACTATAGCTATAACAAGGGACCCAATGGAGGCAAGTTCCCTTGTCCTACCGTCCCCGCAACCTCGAGCACAAGGTCTGGGGGCGACGTTACCAAGTCGACTCAGGCGACATGGCATGTCAGTCATGAGCCCCGTGGTGCGAGCCATTGGAGGGATCTGATGACCAAGGTAAGCTCTCACCCCCTCCACTCCCCATTGACCCAAACCCTCAATCGCAATGAGAATTGACTTTTCTTTTCCTCTGGTAGATCGGTGCTTTGACGACAAAGGAATCCCCCCCTCTCGCCGCCGCCCTCGAGAATGTTGCGACCAATGCCTGCCTTGCGAATTTTACACTTCCTGGGAACTTCCCTTTTGGAACACCTGGTGCAACAAAGTACTACTCCCGAGATGCCGTGATACGCCTCATTGAAAGCGAACGACCGAGGAGCCAGATATACATTGACAGGTACATCAACCTGCTGGACTGCGTCAACCCGATTGTCGACGTACCCCAGTTCAAGATCGAGGTTGAAAACTACTGGGAGGACCCCAACTCTGTGAGCCTTGACTGGCTGGCACAATTGCTCATGGTTATGGGCCTCGGTGCATTTGCCACGCCAGAGGAGCCGAGTATTGCGACCGAACTGATGATGGGTGCTGAAGCCTGCATCATGCAGACACCCTTCATGTTTCGTCCGACATTTACCTCGCTCAAGGCCATGTGTCTTGTTCTTGTGGCCAAGCAAGTCTGCAACCCAACCTGCTGGTTCACTGATTCGTGCTGGTCACTGCTGGGGCTTCTCGTGCGGATGTCATTTATATATGGCCTTCCGCAAGAGACGATTGAAATTCGAGATAATGTCGATCGAGGCACGAGGCGAAGGCTTTGGCTCACCATCATCTATCTCGATATCAAAATCTCTATGCCTACGGGAATGCCACCGTTAACCCGTCCGGACGAGCTTCGATCGTTGAAGAGCTCCATGCCGGAACTGGTCCAGACCGATCCTCTACAGCAGATCCTATCCGAGTCTCTGCCGGCGGTTCTCTCAGTCCTTGTCCAGATCAACTCGAGCAACGATCAGATCCCCTACGCCGAGGTACTGAGACACAACGCTCAGATCCGAAACCTGATAGCCCATGCCAAGCGTGTCATTGCACATCCCCTTCAGCGTGTCACGGTGGATATTTATCTCCGCCGTTGCCTCATGGTCTTGCACCGGCCGTTTGCTCTTCACCTTGAGGGTCCCACTTTGTTCCCCGAGTCATACTGGTCTTCCCTCGAGTGTTCGCTGGCCGTGCTGATGCACTACCGCGACTTGTGGTCCGAGGACTTCAGCCTCCGCTATGATCTTGTCGGCCGTGCCTTCACAATGGACTTCTTCTCGGCAGCCTTGCAAGCGTCGGTCCACGTCCTGAGAAAAGATGCGCCGCTCGCTGACGAGGAGGCCATGGGGTGCCAGATCCCACCCAGACAAATTATTTTGGAAACACTAGACAGCTGTATTGAGATCTGGGATGGCGAACAGCAAAAGAGCGTGTGCTGGAGGACTGCATATAATGTGCTCACAGCCATTATGAAACTAATGCCAGATGCCGACTGAGAAAATGGAATCAATATATATGGATTATCTACTCCAGGGAAATTGGATATAAGTTTTCCTTTTCTGTTCTTCTTTTTTTCTTTTTTTTTCTCATTCTCCTATTTCTGTCTTAATCTAATGGTGTAGCAAGAAGCGATATTTTTAGCTTGGAGTGTCTGTTGGAGAGCCTTTCCCGGCATGACAAACGGGATTTTGTTCTGTTTTTGTATATGTTCTGTACTTATGGATTGGTTGCCAGTTCTTCTGATCAGCCCGGTTTAGGGGGCGCATATATCGGTACTATGGGTACAGAGGAACTGAGGAAGCTGGTAGTTTCTCTTGGCCCGGGCTGTATTTCGGGTGTTATACTAGCCATAGATCTAGTTCATGGGCAGACACTGGAGCGATATCTGCCTTTCCGTGGTATTTGCCTTCTCACTGTTCTTCGCTCGAATTTGCTTGTCCGATTTCGAGGGCATTTCTTACTCATCGATCATGGCCTGTTAGGTGAAACTGCTTCCACTATGATAGTATGACCAAAATATGACATGTTTCCCTCTTCAACATCTTTGGCATGCACTGCTGCCCACTGTGTCTATAATGTTACGTGGCCTCGGCCGCCAGCACGATGAGACAAGTGTGTTAGGCGGTGGGTGGCTTGAACGGGGGCTTTGCGAGAGGGCTTAGCTGGACCTCAGCTGGCAAACATGGAGCTAAGCTTGACCTCAGCTGGCCAACTACGGATTTCACATGCGGTGTTTTAGGGACTGGAATGGAATCTAGAACTTCCATCCTGCCGGTGTTTGTCTGAGGCAAAAAAAAAAAAAAGGGTATGACTGTAAGAGGGCTGCTGGATGAGACACTATCTTGGCAGTGGTACAGGGAAATGATAGGACATACGAGCTCTTGGCATCAGACGAAGGGGATGAGGAGGGTATGATGGGACAAGTTTCTGTCACTTGTAGGGTGGTGCTGATACGACTGGTCACCCCGCACACAGGAGTGACTAGTTGTCCCGAAGCTGGATTCTCTTTTTGCTGCATACGGAGTTGTGTACAGCAGAGCGCTCGATGGGACGTCTGACCGCAAGCTGAGACAGGAGAGGGAAAAAGGCTGAGTTCCGTGGGAGCCGAGAATTGAAACAAGGTTTCAAAGAGAAGAGAATGAAGACGAGAAAAAGGAAAAAAGAGAGGGACGGCGGGGCAGTGCTGGAACTTGACGAACCTCAACAGCACATGTGTGGATGTCAATTCCCACACAGGCCTGGCCACCGTTGAATGGTGAGACATGGCTGACAGTCTCTGTGAGAGGACGAGCCTGCCAACGAGAACTCGCCGGGGTTTAGGGGTCACCAGAGTTCTGCTTAGAGCTGACGGTTCTAGAGCGGACAGTTCTAGAGCCCACTGGGGTGATCGAGATGTCGAGGATAATACGACCTAATGCTTGGCACTGGCGCAGAGATGTCGTCATTCAAATCTTGTGAAACCAACGGTCGCATGCGCTTGTCGCGTAGTGCGAGCACACACATGCACGTCTTTCTGCCTTGTGTCCCGGCGTGTGCATATGGATGGTGCAGAGTGCGTGAATGAAGAGTGCATATTTATTGGAAGGAAGTATTGCTGCATGCCCATTATTGGTCTGCGTTGTCGACTGAGAAGGCCCCGCCAACGCCTCAACCCAACCCCGGCCTGATTGATGGAGCGACGAACGACTTCATTCTGTAGAGCTATAGAGCAATAGAGCAAAAAAAAGAACGTCCTGGTCATTGGCATTCTGCACCCACTGCACTGATCTATCATCGTCACGTGTGGGCCCCCAGCGACTGACATCGTGCCACCTGCACCTGGCACCCGATCCAGTATTTCAACCCGCCAACCAACCACCCGCCCAAGGTCTCCTGCCCTGCGTTTTAATCGCTCTCCAACCTACACGATAGAACGCAACGCCCGCACTCTGGACGCAGCACAAAACCATCATGGCCTCCGCCCTGGATCATTCCCCCCCGGCGCATTCGCCGCCTGGGCCCGATACGAAGCGACCAAGAGGTGAACAAGCACGCCCGACGTCAAGCTCGAGGAGCTTCACCCCGCTAACTGAGAGCTTTAGGCATTCTCAAGAACCCCTCGCAAACCAACACCGCAACCGTTGCCTCTGTTTCAAGCCCCACCCGCGAGACTCCCAAGGGCCGTGAGCGGGCCATGTCCAGCAAGGAAATCACTATTGAGAACACGGCGATCAACGCCGGCCACCGCCGCTCTTCCTCCGCCGCTCGCCGCCCATCCCGCCGACTCTCGTCCCAGAGCGGCTCTGGCGAGCCGCCTGTCGACGGCCAGCGCCTCAAGTGGGATGAGGCGAACCTGTACCTCACGGAGCAGGAGCGCAGCTCGACCATGAAGATCACGGAGCCCAAGACGCCCTATGCTAAGCACTACGACCCGGCCGAAGACCCGTCCGACGAGGACGAGGCGATCGAGGAAGTGGAGGGTCTTCGTCGTCAGCGTAAAGGTCCAGGTGCAGCTGTGGAGGACGACATTCCGGGTCTATCGCTGGGTGAGCCGGAAGAGGAGATCCCGGAGGCAACGAGCTCGCCGTCGTCCAATAAGACGGTCCATGTGGATGAGGAAAGCGTCACCTCCGAGCACCCGGACCTGGTGGGACTTTCGCCCGAGGAACGCGAGAAGCACCGCCAGTTCGAGCAGGCGCGGAAGAAGCATTATGAGATGAGGGACGTGGCCCAGCTGCTGGGCCACTCGGAGGAGATGCTCGACGACGAGGACGACGAGGACGAGGAGATCCCGCCCATGCCCAAGATACCCAACGGCCTTAAGTAGGGTCGGCTGCGGGCAAACGAGGTTATTTCATGCATTGATGGGTGTATTTTATGACGGGACGAGGGTCGGTTTGTGTTTTTTTTTATTTAAATCTGCTGGATTTCTAGGTGTCTGAGACGGATGTTCTCACCCACTCGGGAGTTGGGGCTCTATTCATGGTTCACCGAGGGCGTTATTTGGAGATGTGCACGACCTGGAAGGTATCAAGAAACACACCAGAGAGAAGAGGCGGTACGAACATGATGCTGTCTATTTGGTTTCCTTGCAGCGGTAGATATATATGCACTTGGTGCGGCACAATACATTTCTCATACTGCCGCTCGTATTTGAGCATAACATCCCTCTAGCTCCGCTATCAAATGCTCGACGTGGGATTTTTGAATCCAAACTCAATATGCGAATGCTTCTATCGGCCCTGAACGCTCATGCCTAACTTGCGTAACCTTCAAACAATGTCGCCTGTCGTAACCCATATCACAGTCCCCGTCTACAGCAAGCCCTTCCGCGCCAGCTCGACTTTGCGAGCGGTCTCGCCCGCCTTGAACCCGCTCTTCGAGACGCATATCCTCTGGCCCTCGGCGAGCTCGAACTTTTCCTGGTGTGAGTCAAAGGCGCACGGGCAGTGGTGAGGGAAGTGCACGCAGGCCAGTGTGTCGGGGCAGAGGAAGTTGTCGCAGTTGGCTGTTCGTAAGAACAAACAAATTAGTCTCAGAAATATCCGAATAAAAACATAAAGCAGTTTTTAAAAGACTGGAAAGAAATCTTACAGTGCTCGTAGCGTTGCCGGAAAAGCGATGCGTCGCTCGGGTTGTTAGGCGCTTGCTGGCTTCCTTGCTGGTGAGCTTCATGCGGGTGGCCGTTGCCGCCGCCGCCGCCGAACATCTGGTCAAAGAAGCCCCCGAATTGGGCGTTGACCGCCGTCAGAAGTGTGAGGAGCGCAATGAGGTATCGCATTTTGGACGAGGAGCTCGCATATAATGCTTTGAACGGCGCAATGGTGGGTTGCGGCTTTGGCAGGTTGCACCGATGATAGCTGTCATGATCACCAAGGTCCGTTATCGATAAGACATGGGCTGGCTGGTGACTAAGCGTGAAAACTCCAAACAATACTTGCGGCAGATTGCAACGGCCCATTCACCACCAAGCAAGCCAAAAACCGACGACGGCCACCCTCGGGATTCACAACGGCCATGCGGTCTCTCATTGCGCAGCGGCCTATCATGGCTGCTCTCTCCGGCCTGAGCAGAGTCTGCATCAACCGAACGGCCCCGATCGGCGCCCAATTGGCCAACTCTCTCGTCCAGGGACAGAGGTACGCCTCGGTGAAGTCTCAGGGAGCCTACAAGAAGAAGAGCAAGAGAGGAATTCCCAAGAAGCTCGGTGCGAAGCGTACTGGTGGTATGTGAAGACCTTGATCAAAATTCCCACTCCTCCAGGATCCAATTGCTGATCCAATTCGCAGACCAGTATGTCATCCCCGGAAACATCATCTACAAGCAGCGAGGCACGCTCTGGTGGCCCGGCGAGAACTGCATCATGGGCCGGGACTTCACCATCCACGCCATGGCCACCGGCTACGTCAAGTACTACCGCGATCCCGCACGCCACCCCGACCGCAAGTACATCGGCGTGACCTTCGAGAAGGACGACGTGCTCCCCTACCCCGCGCACGCCGAGCGGAAGCGCAAGCTGGGCCGCACCGCGCACCAGATCAGGCCCGAGGTGGCCCAGCCCGAGATCTCGCCCTCGGGCATCCCCTTCCAGATCACCCGCGTGGAGAAGGGCGAGCCGGACCGCCTGCTGCGCCTGCGCAAGGACTACAGCTACCGCGAGGACAACTGGCGGATCGGGCGGCTGGTGCAGACGACGGGCCTCAAGATCAAGCGCTTCAGGACGAGGAAGCAGTACTTCCGGCACCGCAGGTGGAGGCGCGAGCGGGAGATTGAGGGGCAGCGCAAGGCGGCCCAGAGGAGGGAGGAGCTGGGCGACGACGCCGTCAAGGTCGTCAAGCAGCTGAGCAAGAAGGCCCTCAAGAAGGCTAAGAAGGCTGGGCGTAAATAGATGGGAAGGGGGGGGGGCGTTGCTTTAATAGCGTGGTCTCGAGGCGATTGAGAAATGACATGATTGTTGATGGGGGAGAGAGCCTGTCACGATATACAATGTACACTATATGTAAGCCTGGCAAAAATACATTTGATGTTCTATCTTGGTGTCTCTCTGCGGTTTACGAGACATGGATTGATTGAATATTTGATCGAAACTCTGTTCGAGGAGTTTATGGTTGGTAGAGCATGTTCATACAACATTTTGTCGAATGCATATGTTGGTTTCCCTGATTTTGTCGGGTTGCATTTCAATCGGTCAATGTCTTCCATCTCTACTTGGATGCTCTCATACGCTTTTCCTTTGGACGTATTGTCTGTCTATGAAGGTATAGATCTAACATATAAGAAGTTAAGGGAGGTGGATCATATTGGGCCAATAGAAGGGAAAGTTGAGTAGGCATGAACATTAATGTAGGGGATAATAGAGAGTAATATAACATTATTGCAGAAAGTAATTACAACTAGAAACAGGATGAAACAATGTGCACGCTTATTAACTACAATATTTTAATGAGAATATTCAAATATAGGCGAGCGGGAGACACGCCACCGCTGGTGCGCTGGCCCAACCACTAAAAGGTTGTAGGTAACTGCTCTCGCTTTTTTGGTGGAGAGTGACCTGAGCACTACAGCCAGGGTTCACTCCAAGCACTAAAACCTGCACTCAACGCGCCTGACGCGACTTGACGCACCCAGTCTCCTTCAATGCCCCTGCACTGTAGCACTGACCTGGATAGTCTTCCAACATCAATCTACTTGCTGCTCCTTTGAACTGGCCCTACAATACTGAAGGCCGTGAATTTTCATGTAATCTAGGCTGGACTGGATATTGCCTAGATATTATAGCTGATGATGGATGCTTCCGGCGTCCATGGGCTGATGCCCTTCTGGCCAGGCAATGAGCCTTCGGCCCAAATTGTCAGTGATATCCAACCGCCAGCTCGACCCTCTTCGGTTGCACAAATAGCGACTGAAACAAGTGAAAGGGTTCACAAGATATGGGAAGCAGCGAAGAAGGAAACCCAACCTTTCCCCCCACCGGCGAGTTCCTCAGGAGATGACGATTACAGCCCCTCCGCCGTTGGCTCCTCGCCATCCTCTTCTGATGCGGAGGGAGAGGTGGTAGGAAGTGGCTTACCAGCATATGCCTACACAGCCAATAGCCTGGGTGAGTTTGCTAAGACCTATTTATTCGCTTTCACGAACCCTCCCTGTGCTTTCTTCTGCCGCTCACTTATAACCAGCTTTCATGTATTGAATTATCAATAACAGAATAATAGGTCCCTTCCCGCCTGCCCAGTTATCAGGAACTAGTATCCATGAAACTCCAGAGAGCCGGGGAAGGAGAGAAGATAACCTAGATCTGCCAGCTCCAAAGCGGGCTCGGTTGACAATGGCATCTTATTTTCCGGACAATTTAGGCTACCCCCGCGTCGAGCCATCTCTATCCAGGCAGTCTACAGGTGGTGGTGAAGGATCCTCTCGCAGGAGTTCCAGTCGAAAGTCGACATCGACACCAAAGCCCAGCGTCGCCTCACCGAGCGGGAGAAGATCAGTATACGACTTGAAGGAACAAGAGAGGTGTGTCATGCTAAAGGGCAAGACATTCCCGGTCATTGTGAATGTAAATAACCACTCCTACCGGCACATAATAGGTAAAGTGACATTTTCTCGCCTGAGCCTTATTTTCGAATGTTACTGATGCTTGATATAGAATCTGGGGAACAGAAACCCACGGGAGGGGTGCTCATCCCTGAAAATTACCGCCCCATAGGTCCAAGGCAGTATCATTGCCCAGTGAGGGGCTGTGAGAAAGTCTACGAGAAGGTTACCGGGCTTGGTGGCCACTTCTCCATGGCCCATAACACAACTGCCTTCAACGATAACCGTGACGGGACATTATCGTCTCTTGGACCTTACGAGACTGAAGCCATGGTCAACTCCTTCCCAGGTGTGATTGTCTCGCGGAATCCCAACACAATCGTACCACCACCTGTTCAAGGGCAAACACCTGTCTATCCTCCGAAACCAATTTCGGTTCCCCCTCCCCGTCAACCAAGCGATTACCTAAGAAACCTTCTCTCCCCAAAACAGCGGGCTTATAACCGGGAGGACATTCTGTTCATGCTGTCACTCCCCCAGCTTCGTGAGCTGCCAAAAATCTGGACCCTTCATCTTGCGACTAAGTATATTTCTGAGGGTCTATACGCTATAATCCTGGCCTTCATCGTCGGGGAGGATGTCTCTGCAACAAACAAGTGTACGCATTCTGGAGAGATAAATCAGTCTATCAGAATACCTCCGGGGATGCCAAAGGCGGCAAAAGCTCAACTAACCCGTGTCGAGTCTTGTGTAAGCTGCCTCTATTATAACTACGGTCGCCACTTAAACCCAGCAACCTGCAGCTGGACGCCTGCTCACGAATTCCACATGCTGGGCCTATCCCAATCGATAGAGGGCAGGTCAAGGTCTGCCGATAGCACACGAGGCCTGCAAAGCGTCAGTTTGAAGGATGAGGAATCTGTGTCACAGTCTAGCGCGTCAGGAGAGGCGAGCAACGAAGAGGATGAGGAGGAACCCAAACCGGAATCACCTCCTCCTCGGAGGGCTACGAGAAAACAAGCCGCCAAGAGCAGGAATGATACATCAAAAATGGAAGACTGGGAGTTTGCCCCAGGTAGACAACTTGACGAGAAAACCGCGGAACGTAAGGATTTTAACGGGTATATCACAGGTCTACGCCCTTACTGATTTTTTCTCTCTCTAGCTTTCGCATTTTCTGGTCCGTACGTGACCAGCCAAAACGCAATACAAGTCGCAGAAGACATAGGCTTCCACCGCCTGCGAATACCACCTGGGGGGACTCAGCATTGGAGCGCCAAGAAGGATGTTTTGCGGACTTGCGAAGTAATATCGGGCAAACTTGAGCTCAAGGTGGGAGATGTCAAGGCGCAGCCGATTGGCGCGGGTGGGGTTATCGTGATTCGTCCTGGCATGAAGCTCACGGCCGAAAATCGACAGTACGATGAGGCAGTGGTTTCGTGTCATAATTTCTCGAATTACTCGCTTGCGTGAAGTTGAACGAGGGCAGAGATTTTGGCATATGACCACATTGTACTTTTACTACTATTTTAACGAGGCGCGAGTATCGCGTAGTTTTAGCACTTCCCTGGAGGAATCATCTAATTATCTTAATTCAAGGGCACTCAAAAGGCGCACATAAGCCCGCAAGTGAAATAATAGAGCCACTTTGCACTTCTCTTTTATCGTTACTGCACTTTCGTGCTCTTCTCTCTCGTTTGCTCTTTCCGTTTCTCAGAGCGGTGTACCCAGCACTAATCCCGTAGTGGTGTACAGTGCGAATGATAACATCAAGGCGGAAACGCAGCCAAACCCTTTCAATTCGCACAGTATTTTCGCCTGGGACAGTGCGTCGACGAAAATGAAAATTCTGTCCAGCTATGGGATGAATATAACAGTCAACAGAACACCAATTGAGAGACAATGGCACAGGGAGTTGAGTTTGACCAACGGACCAACTCATTCTTGAGTTGGTTCAAGAGTCTTGAAGGGGCTTCCTTCTCCGATGCGATCCAGATTGTTGACCTACGATCAAAAAGTGCTGGTCGGGGTATTGGTATGCCGTCTCGCCCTTGACCAAAGACAAAAAGAACGCCTACTGATATCGTGCACTTCTAGTGGCCACGCGGGATATTCCTGCAGAAACAACGCTGTTTGAAATCCCAAGAAAGGCCATTATCAACGTACAAACATCGGAGCTTCCCTCCAAGCTCCCTGCAGTGTTCGACCCAGAACCGGAAGCCATGGATGTGGACGGTGATGTCTCCCCTCAATTGGACAGCTGGAGCTCTCTCATCCTCATCATGATCTACGAGTTTCTTCGTGGGCAAGAGTCGCAGTGGAAGCCTTACTTTGACGTTCTCCCTGAGGAATTCAACACGCCCATGTTCTGGTCTGACTCGGACTTGGATGCACTGCAGGCGAGTGCCACGAGAGGCAAGATTGGCAAGAGTGAGGCAGAGGAAATGTTTCGCAGCCAGCTGCTACCGGTGATTCGCAGCAACCAGGGTATTTTTACGTCGAGCGAGCATCGCACCGACGAGGAGCTCATTGGGCTTGCGCATCGCATGGGCAGCACGATCATGGCATATGCTTTCGACTTGGAAAACGACGAGGACCGGGAGGAAGAGGAAGAGGATGGATGGGTTGAGGACCGAGATGGGAGGTCGTTGATGGGCATGGTCCCAATGTCTGACATTCTCAATGCCGATGCTGAATTCAACGCAAGTCTACTCCCTCTATGGTAGGAAACGTGAGCATAAAACTAACTGACGTGTCAGGCTCACATTAATCATGGGGAAGAAAGCCTCACTGCCACATCTCTGCGGCCAATCAAAGCTGGGGAGGAGATCCTCAACTACTACGGGCCTCACCCAAACTCGGAGCTTCTTAGGCGATATGGCTATGTCACGGAGAGACATGGTCGATACGATGTTGTCGAAATTCCGTGGGGCGTTGTTGAGGAGGCCCTGGCAGCGCAGCTTTCTGTGCCTGAGGACGTGATCTCAGCGTGCAAAGAGAAGTTGGATGAGGAGGAATTGGAAGACGTGTTTGTTCTTGAGCGTGATTCTGGGGAACCCAACTCAGATGGCACCTTTGCGGGTCCCGCTGGGCTGAAGGAGATGCCAGGTGACCTGCAAGAGCAGGTGAAAGCATTTCTCAAGGGCATCAAGAAGCTGAAACCCGACCTGATCCCTGACAAGCGAAAACGCGATGAGATCCTTAGTGATGTCATGTTGAACTCGCTGCAGCTACTCGAATCACGGTACCCAACCTCCTACATCGAGGACAGGATTCTTTTGAGGAAGACGGATCTATCTGATCGTATTCGCATGGCGGTGGAGGTTCGACTCGGGGAGAAGCAGCTTATCCAGGAAGCCAAGGCACTCTTCCAGTCGTCATCGAATGAAAATGCGGGAAAGCGATTGAAAACATCCACGTGAAACCCAGCTGCATACCGGTTTAAGTCAGCTGGGTTGATACCGCAGTCGACCGGTGAGAAATTATTGGCGCCACCACACCCTCTCTCGATCCGAGACCCGAGATGACATGAATTTGTTTCCAGCTGTCTCTTCTCTCACGGATCGGACAAATGAGCATATCCAACGTCATTTTGAGCGCTTAATTGGACCTTTGTTTTTAAGTTGGGTGATGCCTAAGCTTTTAAATAGATGCCTGGGTCCGGCCGCAAGGTAAGATGCGCGGAATATCTACTGATAGGTATAAATAAGAGTATTTCCTCATGGCAGGCCCTGGACGCTATTTCCATCAACTGAATGCAAGGTGTGACCTTCTCGACTAGGAGATTCATGTACTGTCTCCTGCGACGACTCTCAACCCTGATCAACTGCACTAGTTCCTCAACAGCCACTTGGGTGCAGCTGATTGGTGTCGGTGGTGTTGAGCATCTTGGCCGTGGATTGCACCTGGCTCTTGATACCGCTGTGTGGATCGTCGCGCTACTTGAGGAAACGGTTTGGCGGTCGAGAATCATCGTCGTCGGGTAGGATGAGCGTCTCTCTGTGGCGTGGCACTGTTCATCATTGGACAGCAGATGTGACTCCGAGAACATCGACGACCCCTGACGCAGAAGACCGGTGAAGGAATATTTGCGCGGCGTCATTCGTCTTCTTCAGGAGGCCGTCATCTGGGCCGGATTTTCCAGCACACGGCGAATGCCAAGCCCTGTACCACTCTCAGCTCGGCGCAGGCCGTGTCGCCTCCCTCGCGCCTGCGCTGGTTATGTCTCAGTAGGCGATTGTTTAGGCTCGAAGGACTGGCTGATGTGGAGCCAAAGATCGCCTTTACTAGGTATCATGTCTGGCCTTCATTTGGCTTACAGTGATGGGGTTGGGAAGCATCACTCACTCAATCTGGATCTGGGCCTTGGGCACCACTGTGATGTGGGAGGAGCATTACCACCATCCATCAGTCCCGACATTTTCGGCTGCTCGGCTAACAAGGGACTTTGGACAGGTATCAAGGCCAAGCCGGCGCATTTCCCACTGGCCTTTCTCGCTACCTACTCAGAGTCTTCTGGGCTGTTTCTGGCGTCTTTGTGACGGAGTGTCGCTTGTGATCATCATTTAACCACGGTCTAGTTTTTCATCGACCGCGGTTACATTTATGGGTGGGAAACCTTCCTGTGCCACCACTTCAACATATCGTCAAAGTTTCCCGGGCTTGGACAACCTTGCAAGGGCTGTGCTGTCCACTGGGCATCTACGTCCCCTTTACCCTCCTGTGACTCTATTGGCTCGACCAATGTCACAGATACCTTGCCCTTCCGATCAGCGGGATATTTTCACAGACAACTCAGCGCTCTCGGCCGTATTCAGCTTATCGAAACCTCGGCTTGTACCTGATCACGATCACCTCCACGTACGGCGACCTCCGTCCGCAGGAGCGGTGAAGAGCATTATCGCACTTCCGTCTGACATGTTGGCAATGCATTTACAACGTTGAAGGGTTCGGGTTCGGAGGAGACGAGGATCTATCCACAAGGCTGGCTGTACTTGATGTCTTCCCCCCTGCTAAACGTCCACATGGCGCCCCGCATCCACCCTCTTGGTGGTCATGGCAGCCCGACCCTGGTGAGGGCCTTATCATGCACACAATATCGCGATGGTGGCGTCACAGGCTGGGCGTACTTGGTGGATCTGACCGGCGGTGGACCGCAATCTCTGAACGATCTCTGATTCACTCTTTCTCGCGCCTTTGGCGTGTCGTGCTGCTGCCTTGGCCAGGGGCCACGCGGGGAGAGCCAGGTGGGGTATTGAGCCGCAAGGCTTTCCCTTGACCGCTCCGGGGTTGACATATGGGATGTATTCAATGCTGAGGGTACCTACTAAGAAACTGGGCTGATGGAGCGTGCAACTGCAATAATGTTTGGGCACCGATGGTACGGGCCTCGACCGCCTTTCGTGAGCCGCATCAGTATTGTGTGTAGACGAGCCACCTCCTTATTACACGACTTATATAAGGCAGTCCGATGTTAGCAGCCGTTTTCTCTGTCCTAGTCAAGGCTTTTGTCAATTCTCACAAAACGACCAACCGCCCTGCCAAGACGTCAAGAATGTCGAGGGTATGTGATATCTCATGCGCGATGACGGGCTCAAGGCTTCAAAGTGTTCTTGCTGACTCTCTCCTAGTCTTCAGGTGGCAAGCTGCCCAGACCCACCACGCGTGTGCCTGGCAGCAACAGAGCTTTTACGGCCCTGAAAAATCATGCTAGAATGACTAGCGTTCGGCCCCCGCTCACGTTTCTCTTCGTCGTCAACGAGATATCAACTGCACATTCCCTAGTTGATATGTGGGGAGGTTCCCGACCCCCCGAGACCCCTGGGGCTTATCATATGGAGAGGCCCAGTGAGGTCATGAAGTATGAGGATGGAATCGTCACGTCTTGCCCTGACTACTTTTACTGGTGTCGGAACCCCAACCAGGACAACCGAGGGGCGATCTTCGCGCGGCATGCCAATGGTAATGTCACTGAGACGGAGGCTTACAAGACAGCCACCATATTCTCCTGTCACCCACACATGCCGTTTGCCATGGTCGACGTTGACGCCTCAGTGGAGGAAACCTATAGCAGAGAGAATATGCCTTTGGATCAGCTCTGGCGATACCCAGTCTGGGAACCGCTGCAGTTCCTCCACCCCAAGGACCATGACCGAAAAGGTATATCGCAAGCTGTGTTCGGCACCAGCCCAATTGCGACACACCACAACGGCCCACTGCAATATGTCGCAGGGACGAATGCCAGCTGTATTCCTCGCCTTGTCCCGTGGACGTGCCGATATCCATACCCTCACGTCCAGCCATCCAAAGGCCTCGGCGGCGAACTGACAATCTTGATTGGTCTCATGGCCTTTTGCCCTAGCCGGGACGCTGTGGGAACCAGAGCGGAGCTGTTCATTCCCCGATACTGGAGGAATAACAAATGGGAATGCGAAGCCCCCCCGCAGGGTTGTAAGTCTCCTCCTGAAATGACCTGGCCACGTCTTGTAAACGACCCTGAGACTGACAAGACACCTCGTGTCTGTGTAGATTCATGCTCCACCAAAGACACCCCGAAAGGCTTCATTGTGTCTATCGCTCTGGATCCCTGGAACCCATCGGGTTCCACCCGGGAGGCTTTACAAGCATTCGAGTTCGAAGGGGTGGTCATTGAAGAGTCTGCCCCCAGCAATTTCAGCCCATTTTTTTGACTGGACAATTCCCGCCTTGTCTTTTACCCTTCGCTGTTAAAGTTCTTATGATTTAAGAGATATCCCTTTGTGTTATTACTTGTTTTACTTATCTTGTCTACTACGTTGAGATGAATTACGGACGATGTCGATTTTTATATTAGTTGTAATTGATGGCGATTGTATAATCAGGCTTCTAAAACAACTCTTGATGTGACTGTTGGAATGAAGCAGAACGAGCAACAAAACTAGTCCGGCGAGAGTAGGGATGATAATGTTTAATGCTTCCGCTCTGGCGCGACCGACAGTCGAGCAACTTGAGACGAGCGTAGATTAATGGAGCGGTTACACTTAAGACGATCGCAAACCTCATTAACGGAACCCGAATTCTGATCACGCTTGGCTTATCAGATGGTCTTCCAGCGCCTGTCCCTGATTTGGGCTTGAACTGAACGGTAACAGTTTATTGAGCGATATAGGTAATTGAGAATGAAGTTAATGTCTGTCTGGCTCTATCGTATGATTGGACTGCCTCGTACTCGCGAAAGAATGGCCTATTTATGGAACCGAGCTGTCAAATTACCTTCTAGAATCCTGCCTTTGATCCATCGAGGCTATCGTAAACTGTCAGCACACGAATAATTGAAGAAGACAAACGAAGATGGGCCGAGGGCACTTACATATCTCTTGTCCCCAGCGAGCGAGCCGCGCCTTGCTCCGATGCCGGCTCTATCATGATGTAATCCTTGATAATGGCTGTTCCGTCACGCAGGGCCTCTATCTGCTTGTCGCTGCAGGAGCCGGTGTCAAGGATGTAGCAGAAGTCGCCATACTGGGGGGGCACCTCCGAGCGGATGTGGAACACGTCTGGGGGGCCCTCGGTCGCGTACGTGGCGTTCGCGGCGGTGTCGATCTCCCCCGTCGCAATGTCGCGGTTGAAGAGCGCGCGGTTGAAGATCTGATAGGCGGTCTCGGGCTGGTAGGCGGGGACGGCGTGCCCAGCCTGGTAGACGCGGATGAAGGACAGGTTCCCGTACTGGCGGACCTGCCCGCCCTCGTAGGTCTCGTTGGTCTGGAGGGGGGCGTACCCGGCCGCCGAGAACTTCTCCTGGCTCTCCCACGGGATGGCGAGCGAGGCCTGCTCGCCGCCGATCCAGTTGCACGCAAAGTCCCTGTCGCCGTACATGAGCGCGACCTTGATGCCGCGGTGCAGGAGGTATGCGATGTCCTCGATCCAGCCGGGCCGGTTGTAGTCTCCGATGCTGCGGAAGGCGGTGGAGGAGGCGGACGAGCTTCCGGTCCAGTTGAGAGGGACGCCGAGCGCGGACTGGATATGGGGTTGGTTGAGATAGCCAGCGGTGAACGGAGCCGGGAAGGAGACGGGTTCGAGCTGGGTCACGTCGTAGTAGTCGCGGCCGGAGACTGCGAGATACGGATCACGCATGGTGTTCGAACAGTAAGTCTCGGCTTGTTGACAGATCGAGTTCACGGTCGCGTTGATTCCGATATTTTCAGGGTCATAGAGCGCAGAGACCTCGCGACAGTTGTCGATTTGCTCGCGACACCCGCCTGGGCGATCAAAAGCATCTACCATGTTTTGGTAGACCGTCTCGTTTACCGTTTTGATATCAAAAGTGTTGTTGAATGCCATTGTAGGATATGAAGGCCACTGTACCTTGCGGTCGATACACCCATTCACGATGAGGAGCGTGTCCAGATTCAAGATGTATTGCTCACCCTCCGGGCCCTCCAAAGTCCCATTCTGGATCTTCTCGTTCTGTTCTTGGAAGTATGAGGCGAAGGCTGGCCCGTAGCGACCTCCGTAAGATTGAGTAGAGATACTGATCTTGTCGTTCTTGGGACGATAGCCCGGGAATTCCTGGAACCAAACCTGGGAGAAGTGCCACAGGGCAATTGCGGCATTGCGGCTTCCCCAGCTGGTGGTATTGAGGCTGGATTCGGGATACGTGCCGGTCTGGAAAGTGGTGTTTTGTTCTGGAACAGGACTTCCAGGTTCCATTGTGTTCACACCGCCGAGCAGGTTCCTCGTTACATTTCGAAGGGTGTTGTAGGAGAAGCCGACCTGGACTGGCTGATCGATGTACAGCATGTTTACTGAGACAGGTAAGAAGGCAGACAATACATGAGGAAAATAAGAGAACATCGCCTACCTTTATTATTCCAAGACCATTCACTGGGCCGTGTCGAATTGGAATCGTTATTGATATAGCAAGGTCCATGCTCGTTAAACAGGCCCGGCATTGATGAGCTTCCTGGACCCCCATTCATCCAAATGGACAGAGGAGCATTTTCCGGATCCTCCTTGGCCTCGAAAAACCAAAAGAAGGTATTGATCTCGTAGAATTGCTCCTGGCCGACCCCCTCAAGCGTTTCTGGAGGGAGATGGACAAAGCCAGCATAAGATTTCACACCAGGAGTTTCCTCGCATAGCCCGGGCTATGGAAATATGTAAGCTGAGACCTAGAAACCTTTGGCTGAAAGGGAATCCTTACCTCCTTGTAGCTGATTGTGATGTTTTCATTGAACTTCGACTTCAATACCGTCACCCCTTCGGGCTTGGGGGGGAATTGGGACAAGACTGGCCAGGCAAATACTGCCGCCAGGCTAAGCAGCGAGAGACGGGACCTCATGGTAAGCTTAAATTCTGATGAGAATAGTCATACACTCAAGCAAATTCGCGGATGGACAGCTCTCCCCTCTTTCCCCTCGAAAATAAACACACGCAGGCGGTGTGGTACTGAATCACTTCATCCCCCCATTGATATTCCAACAAGAGACCTAATGGGGAAGGTATCACCCCGGATGAATTGCAGATAACAAACTAAGGCGGGGGCGTTGTCGGATGAAATAGGAAAGCCCGATCGTCACACACAAACTTTCGTAACTTCTGTTTACCTAACCGAAGGAGATAGCCTTTATATCTATACTTTTAGTCTTTACCAGCTTGAGACCGTCAACATTCATCTGGGGCTCTTCATGCTAATTTGGCTACACAAAACAAATGGTTCGTCGAATTAAAAAGATTCTCACAATAGCATTCTCAAATAGAACAGCAGACCTTTTTTGTCGAAGATATTCTGATGTTCATCTGATTCCGAAAGTATACCACATTGCGTCTCATCTCAATCTGCACTGGCTAAACTGTGGCCTACTAATTTCACGTACGTGATGTTTTAACCGAATTCCAATGCTTTACTTCACCTTCCTCTACGATTCCCGTACTTGCAGAAACAGGCTTTCGGTTATCAGTCAATCCCCACGGCCTTCTCCTTCCTGTATCTCTCCTCCGTATCTCGCAGTCTCTGGTCATGACTACTGGACAGCCTCCTCCTCCGCTCAGCTTCAAATATTTCGATAGAACGAAGTGATCCCATAAAATTGCTTTTGCTTATTCTCCCACAACACCCTTCGAAATGTAACGAAGAACCTTCTCGGTGGCGTGAATACATTGTATCCTAGAATCCAATGTCACCGTTGACTCTCCCGGTGATGGTATCAGCCTCCATACCTGGCGCCCATTTTAACCCGTATCGACATTTACTGTAAAAGATATCCAAGGATCATCCAGAAGGCTTAATAGAAGGTTCGCGTCCAGATCTTCATAGATGCAGTCACAAAGTTTACTCACGCCCGTGACTCGTTCACCGAAAACTTTATCGAGGACAGGCCATCTTCTTTATCAGTTTATGTTTTGGCCTTTTCAAGTATATGTAACATGGATATTATATATATTATTATTGAACGTTTCCTATTGCAGGCTAATAATGGGCAATCAAAAGACAATACGCTCTATATCATCAGGTTTACCAAGCTCATTGTCACATTATTCCGGCCCATGGTGATATTTTAGACGTCTAATGCCAGCAGTACGCTGGGACTTTCCTCAAGAATTGTCTGTATAGTTTCTCTAGATCCTGAGGGTTCTACTTCAAGCGCCGCCGAGATCGAGAGGGGCCAGGAAACAACTTTCCTAAGCGGGCTTTGGCAAAGTTGTATTGCAACAAAGACAATAAGTTCGAAACAGCCAGCATACGAGCCGAGAACAGGGACAGCCCGAAATTCAAAGAGCTAACAGACTGAATCGCTCATTGTCTCTTCTGAGCCAGAGAACGACTCTTCGGATTCAAACTCTGTGTCTTCTGTGAAAGAAGGCCACTGTCTTGGATCGAACTCTGCCGCTTCTGAGGTAGGAAGCCACTCTTCCGCATCAATATTGGCTAGGTTCGAATAGATGCCGCCATAATTTATAAATGGAACACAGGGAAGTAGTAGAAGAGTTCAACACACACGGGAACATGCCTGCCAGAGATCACTAGCCTAATGAAAGGAAAAGTACATAGTCCTCTATAGTATGAGAGTCAATTCCTTCGAAAAGAAAAGAGATAAGAACTTGAGTAAGAATAGTATCCGAAATCTAAGTCTCTTAAAGATGTTCTTCTATTGTAGAGTTTTTACTAATATATACTATGGTGTACTTGATTCAGGACTTATATATACTGAATACCTGTCTCGTGAGTCTTAATACTGAATGGCGCATTACAAAGAGACATAACCAATAGGAGACTTGTGCTGCTAACGTGCATCTATATGAGTTTTTTTCTCTAAGTCTATAGGTACTATTTAATATCCCAATATACATCGTCTATGTTGCTTCATTGCCCAGTATTTACATCTTTCTATCAATATCTGAAACTTCCAACGAAAGAAACGAAGATGGAACTGCTGGCTACACTAGGAAAGAATCTAGTTCTTTTCGATAAGGTGAACATGCGTAGCCAGCTTGTTCAAGTCAAGCTAAAGGAAGAAAGAGAGAACTGTTAGAAAGTATCTTTGTTGGGAGGCCCGTGAAAACTTACAATGCTTTGGTCAAGGTCGGACAAGGAGTTGATACCAACATTCCAACCGTCATAGATGATCTCATTCTTCAGCAGGGTCGCAGCTCGGACGATTCCGTCATATCCATAGACATTAGAGTAGTAGAATCTAATATCACGAGGTTA